TTCTTCCCTCTGAGGGTGACGGAGCACTGGAACAGGCTGCCCAGGGAGGCTGTGGAGTCTCCTTCTCTGGAGATATTCCAGACCCACCTGGACAAGGTGCTGTGCAGCCTGCTCTCGGTGACCCTGCTTCAGCAGGGGGTTGGGCTGGGTGACCCACAGATGTCCTTCCAACCCCCACCATTCTGGGATTCTGTGAAGGAGCTGTCTTGTGCCACCAGCGTATGTGTGTGTGCGCGTATGTGTATACTCACCCCAGCTTCTGAAGCAAGTATATATGTGTTTATATACGTATGTGTATTTGCTTCAGGAGCCTGCACAAGAGGCCCTGCGTGATGCTGGGCATCCCACTACCAGGGCAGCCTTCTCTTTGGCCTCTGCTGCCTTGGGTGCTGTTGGACAGGTGCAGGGGGAATGCCTGAGCTGAGATGCTGGGAAGCACTCAGCCAACTCTAGCTCTCTGGGGGCAGGATGAGACCAGCATGGGAAGTTGTAGGAACTCTGCTGCTCAAGTGTATGATGTGTCCCCAGAATGCCTGTCCTGGCCTCGCTGGCACATGTCCCTCTCTGTCTTGCAGAGTCATTCACGGCTGACCACAAGCCACTCATGGGGGAAGCCCCAGAAGTCCGAGGCTTCTTCCTTGGCTGCGGCTTCAACAGCGCCGGTAAGAGAGACCTGAAGGGATCACACCTCGGGCACCCCCGTGCCGGATCACATCCCGGGCAGAGGACATGATGTCCCACAGCCACGCTTGGCGTCCTGGCCTCACCTGGGTCCTCGCCTCTTCCCCCAGGGATGATGCTGGGAGGTGGCTGCGGGAGGGAGCTGGCTCACTGGATCATCCATGGGCGGCCGGAGAAGGACATGTACAGCTACGACATCAGGTGAGTCACCCCGGCTGCCCCAGGTCCCTGTGGGCTCCTTCGCCAATACCTCTCGTCCTTGAGTGGTCCCTGGGGGACGGGTTTTGAGGCAGGGCTGGATGCTGGCATCGGGAGTGGGTGTTGGGCAGCGTCTGTGCCACACAGTCTGTGTCCCTCCAAGGAGCTGGAATCAATTATACTCAATGGCTTTAATGAATTTACACGTGGGGTTTATCTCATTTGCCTCATTCCGCTTGTACGCAAACAGCTTCCATCAGAAACGAGGAGGTTGCGGTGATGGGAAAGGACAGGGTAATTACGTTTGGGTTTTGTTGCTGTTCAATTAGTGCCGTGCCTAATCCTCTAAGTTAATAATCAAGGGTGATGATTTCAACAGGAGAAAGATTAGCTTTCCCCCGCCGTCTGCAGCACAACGTGGGCCGGGAGTTTTGGGTGTGCAGATGTTGGCTCTGTAATTGCTTTTGACTTGCTTGATTATATTTGATTGGGTTTGGGCTTTCTTACAGGGCTGCTGGCGACAGCAGCCACCATGTCAGGGACAAAGCTTTCAAAATCCTGTCGCTTTAGTGGCAAAACTGGAAAACACCTCATGACTGGGGCTGGGAGGAGAGGGGAGTCAGTGCTGGTGCCTGCAGAGGTCGGTGGGAGATGCCTCGGGCAGTGGCTGGGCCAGCGATGGGCCAAGCCGGGGAAGGAGGAATCCCCAGGCTGGGCAGGCACCGTGTCACTGTCAGACGGGGAGGCTGGCACAACCACAGCCGTCGTGGGGCTGAGCCGTGCCCGGGGACCCCAGCCCGGCTCAGAGAGCGGTGAGGGCTTCCAGCCCTTGCGTCTGGATTACCCGAGCATCCCCCGTATCCCGTCTGCCCTGTCATCAAGCTGGTGTCAGTCCCGTTTCTTTTCTTTTGGTGACGATTACTAAGCTTCTCTTTAAATAACTCCCTTTTCTGTGCATTTAAATATTTATCCTCTGAAAACACTCGCTTGTAAATATTTCATCTGGCAGCTGTTGCTGCTCTTGCCGCTGTCAAAAATTCCGTGCGTCGGTGAAGGGGCCGGGGCTGGCGGGGCAGCTGGGGGTGCCGGTGACATGCCATGTGTCACCTGCTGCCTGTCCGTGCCAGCAGAAGAGGCAGCTGCCCTCACAGTGAGCCCACGGCTGCGTTTGGAGAGCACTGCTTGCACTGCTGCAGGGCTCGGGTTGCACCACTGCACCCAGGCAGCGGGGCGGCAAGCCAAGAATATTGTTTTAAAAGGCCCTATAGATGACAATTTGTCTTGCTTTTCGCCTGCTGCCTGCCTCCCTTTCTCCAGACCCGGGGGCTCTGGGCTGGAGAGGAGCCGGTGGCAATTCGGAGAGCCCGAAGCCGGAGGATGGGAAAGGTGCCACTGGCGCCCGGGGCTGCTCTCCGTGAGTTATAGGTCTCTGGTAATAATAACCTGAGCATGTGCTGAGCTGGCACATTCCTTCAAGGAGCCTTTCTGTTTGAAAGATGAAAATATGTCAAACAAATTTAAAATGCTTTGGGTTTTATTTATTTTTAAGCCTAGGGAGAATTGGATGAAAAACGTAAGGAATGTCCAGGGCTCTT